GTCCACCTTCCTAACTGCAGGAGCTATTACTGGCAGTACTTGCATACTGGACTGTGCCCAGCCAAATGTGGGTCATATGCTTGCCCAAGTAGGAAGGAATGGGAGAAGTAATGGGTTGCTGCCACACTCACTGGGTGCACACTGTCCCTCTCTCCTACTTACCTAGTGGTGGTGAAGCCTCACATCCAGAGCACATTAAACACTGATATTACAAATGCTATTTCACATTCATCATGCTCTTTCATACATGCCACCAGCCTCAGCTTCTCAAGATGATTTCTGTCCATCTGTTCTGTTTTTATAGGGACATGGCATCATGTTGCCTCTGTTTGCTCCTTCCCTTTGTCCTGTTTGTTGAGGTCTATGCCTGTTTTTCATCTGAAGCTTACGAAAGAGTCCAGGTCTGAATCATGGACTAGTCATACATTGGAACTGAGCCTCCTACATTCCCTTGGCCTTTATTTTTGGAATGGGGTCTGCATGCTAGAACATTATGGCTAAATATTAAATAACCACAGCTGTCATGGACAGATTCTTAAAGAAGGTATTCAGATGAAACCAAATCAGTTTTTAGTAATTCTCATTTTTAAACTAAAGGCAATTCTAAAACCAAATTCGTTAAAAAGAATGAAAATTCAAACATTTAGTTTAAAAGTTGCAAGCATCAGAATGGAACATTTTACAGAATTAAAATACATTCACAAAATACTTCACTGTCACCAAAATGACAGAGGTTTGGCCCAACATTGCGCCTGAAAAATGTATATGAGCAGTACTGGCAGATGCTCTCCTACCAGATTTCAAAAGTGAGTAACATATCTTGCAGTAGTTTATGTTTCTTTCAGACCTAAAACAAATAATGTGAAAACAATCTAAGCTTTCATGTCTTTGTGCTTTTACTCTGATTGATGTAGAGAACAGCAGAAAATATCCTGAGCACCCTGAAGACTTAGAAACTAGCAAGCAAACAAAAGAAGCCCAGAACTGTTAATATGACTGTTCTCTTTACTGCTGTTGCTGTACTGGTTACTTAGGGAGAGGGGTTTCTCAGCAATTCACTGCAGTGTCTGCTCTTGTGCTTGTTCACTCTCTCCACCCAAGACTTCAAGTTATGTTGTCCATGGCTATGTTGCCTTAAGCAATACTGGCTCCCACATAATGCTGCTCTTGGGCCAGCAAAACACTTCTTACAGCAGCCTCAGGCCAACCCACAGACCTTCAGCTGAGGAGCTGTCAAGAGATGACTCCAGCGCAGAGAAGAGCAGAGAAGATACGTGGAACAAAGTTTACAAAGCAGTTTAGAGAAAGAAATGTCAGGAAGCAACAAAAAAAGAAAATTCTGAATCCTTTTTCTTTTTGAGGTAGAAGTCCTCCTCCTCACATCTGAAGCTTACAGGCAGATTTCTGCTTCCTGACATATCTGGTTAAAAAAATAAAAATCTAAGTATGGCATTTGAGCATACATGTAATACAAGTTCTAATAAGATTCTGATTTATTACTTGCCTTAACTTTTACCAAACTCTTTGCTAACAACAACAATAGAAAGTAATACTAAACATAGCAACCTCCACATTTTTTAGTCTTAGGCACCAATCCTGTCTCCAGTGCTGCAGACTGGGATGTATCTGGAGGACCCGATCCGCTTGTCTCCAACAGACATCCTGGGAACTCCCTGAACTGGAACATTTGAAAAGCATTGTTGGTAGAAGCAAGGGATCTACTAACTTCATCTTTCTAAATAGATACTGATAGCAGATTTAAATTTAGCATATGTGCAGAAGCCTTTTGCATTTTTTTGGAGACAAAACAGAATAAAAAAATACTTTTTTGTCCTCAGGAGAATAAAAAATAAGTGAACAAAAAAATAAGTGAACAAACAGTATGAAAGGCAAATAGAAATGCTAACTCATAGATGACTTGCCTAGTTAGTAATTTTCAATAGATGTAACAAAGATGATAATCCAAGAAAGCATTGGATGAAGTACAGGTAGTTTTGCTGGACCTTCAAAATCATCTGTTTAAATTGGAGGGGTTTTTTGTTGTGAGTTGGTTTTGTTGTTTTCGGGTGGTTTTTTTGTGGAAACTTGAACTAAGAGGCAGAAGCAGTGTAAATGTATTGCAAGTGAAAACTAATACAGCTTTCTTTTAGCGTCTCCTGGGCACTAACCCTTCAGATGTCCTAAGATTTAGACTCTCAAAGATTTCATTTCCTATTTCCTGGGCATTAGAGGAAGGCAACAAGGTGAGACGAATGAACTCAGATATCTCTTAGAAATCAAACAACTTCTGAAGCAGAGATGCAGAAGTAAAACAAAATGTACTTTTGCTTCAGGGTTTTTCTCTACACTAGTTTTGTTGGTTTTTTCTTTTCATTGTGGTCCCTTATTTCCCTACCCAGACAAAATGCAGCCATGACAACATGGAAATCCCCTGAGCAGTACAGTTCTGATAATAAGATTGTTCAGGTTCAAGAAAAATATTATGTCTGAAAAGACTCTTAATTTGCTCCAACTGAAACAGGAAAAAAGAAAAAAAAAAGATCAAAGCGATAGCCCACTCAATTTAAAACAAGACAAATTTAAAGTGAGAAGGTGTCATTTCTGGATAGCGGTCAATTTGCACAGGAGAGCCCTCCTTTAAAGACATTTCTGGCTGAAAATTATGTAGAAATTAGCCTGAGGGTTTCTAGAAGAATACAGTATTGAAGAGTATGAAGAAAGGTGTTGAAATTCTTTACTAAACTTCTCTAAAGCAAGCGAGGGGTAGGCCTTAGTGATGTAAAGTCATGGGGGCCCAACCTCACTAATTCAAGTTTGGCTGCAATGAGCTTGGATCAATCACAGAAAACCTGGGAGAGAGAGACGAGGACAAACTCCTGCTAAAGTTCCACCAGCTGACTCAGAAAGGGAGAGTTTCTTGGATGGATATTATGAGAATTTGGCAGTGACCCAAATAATTCTGTAGGTGAAGTCAGTCTCTTGACTGAGGGTCAGTCAGGCCATGGTGGTGCCAGTGTCAGTGGCTCCGTGCCCCCCACACCATGTCCAGCTCCTGCTCTGCTTTGTGTGGGTGGTCACTGTGGCCTGGCAGGTCCCTCTCCTGTTTGTGGATGGGAGGTATCGTAGAGGTCTGCCAAGCAGATGTCTATCCCTGCCACGCCCTGGGCTCTTTTTAAATTCAGTGGAGAGAAATAAATATATTTCGAGGTTTAGACTTCATCTTTTTAATGTCTATTTTGGCATGAGTTGAATCATGTTCTTCACTGGCCAGACAGAGGTGCAGCATGAAGAGTTCTAACATAGCAGGACACCCTGTAAATGCCTGCACACTGGCCAGTGAACCCAAATCCATTCTTCTGCGTCTACCTAGGCTTAGTGCAACTTCAGGGAACACTTCAGTGGGGAGCCCCAGGGTCCTACCACAAGGGGCTTGATGCAGATATTTGAGATGCCCATCTTCCAGGCAGTCTTCTTGAAATCTTGTGGAAAGGGGATAATTACTTCCCATTAGAAAAGGGCAGTGGAGCCCAGAAGCAATACCTTGACAATCCACTGCCCCCGGCTTCGGGTAGCAATTGACATTGCAGGACAGTCCTTGATGTTCTGGCAAGGCCACTCTTCTGGACATGAGTCCTGAACTTTCATCACTTTGGTGAGCATTTTGAATTAGTTGCTTGAAAATGGGAAAGCTGATGTGGCTTCCATATTGAGCCTTCTTATTGTAATGTCATCACTTTTCTGTTTGCTTGGGCACTGTTACTAACTTTGCCCTCAGTTTCCTTTATGCCTCCAACCTAAAGCTTTTTTTTGGTGCAGCCAGGCCTGTGCCATAGCTTGCTCTTCTCTTTCAGGTCTTCAGCTCACTTGTAGTCAGCCACATCAGTCAGCTGTGTGCACGGCTCTGCTTTACGATCTGGAGTGCGTTGGTGTTTACAGCCACAGAAAGTGTGCAAAGGAAATATTTAACACCTCTTTATCTCTCACTTTCTGCCTTTGCTTTGTCCAAAACCTGAATAAATGTGAGATGCGCCACTTTGTTCTCAGGAGCCAGGTTTTGCAGGACTAGTCTTTTAAATCACAGCTTTTCTGGCTCAGCACTGCCTTACACGGAACTTCACAGAATCACAGCAGGTTTCAGGCTAAAAGGGACTTTTGAAGATTATCAAGTCTCAACCCACCTGCCATGGGCAGGGACACCTTCCACTAGACCATGTTACTCAAAGCCTCATCCAACCTGACCTTGAACACTTCCAGGGATGAGGCATCCACAGCTTCTCTGGGCAGCCTGTGCCAAGACTTCATCATCCTCATAGTAAAGAATTTCTTCTCTATGTCCAATCTAAATCTATAAAGTCTCCCTGGAGCCTTCTCTTCTCCGAGCTGAACAACCCCAACTCTCTCAGGTAGTCTGCACAGGAGAGGTATTCCATCCCTCTCATCATCTTAATGGCCCTCCTCTGGAATTGCTTCAACATGTCTGTGTCCTTCTTATGTTGGGAACCACAGGGCTGAATGCAGTACTCCAGGCAGGATCTCAAAGGGTAAAGAATCAACTCCCTTGAGCTGCTGGCAGTGCTGCTTTTGACCAATAGTTAAAAAATAAACAAAAGCAATCACACTTAATGTTTCATACCTGGAAGATTTTTCTTCCTTGGACCTGTGCACCTCTGTGGGGAGTAAAGTGCAAGGGCTAAACCATGCACTCAGGGAAACCAGCAGCACAAATCACAGTAGCTGAGTCAGAAGCACTGTCCATGAAACATGCTCCCTTCTCGCTGGATTTTACCAGGTTTGCCCAAAGAGGTTGACAGGCCTGATCCAGAAGGTCCTTAGTTTTGAAGTGGGGAAGCCAGTTTCAAAGTAAAAGCTCAGTGATTATCTTCAAGCTGGCTTCCTGCCCTCTGCCACCAGCCATCCTCTGCGTAGGCATGTTTACATTTCCCCTCGCCTGAGGTCTCTCTGTCGGGCCGATAGGTTTGCTCAGCGCCGGGTATAAAGGCAGTGGGTGCGGGTTTCGCACACACATGCACTGCACACATGCAGGCTGCTCAGAATGACACAGCCCAGTACACTGTTGAGCATTTTTGCCATGTTTCTTCACACCACATTTGGGGAAAGTGGTTGCACCTCAGCAGACGGTGATGGTGAGTCATTTCATCTTCATCTTTCCACTCCTGGGTGATCTTGAAAAACCTCAGTTAAGAGTTCCAAAATGCAACTGCTGGGTTAAATATGTTAATGTTTTAACTTCCAGTCTCTCTTTCAGTGCCAGAACTTGAGGTGGAGGTGGAGCTGGAGGATACCTATTTAATTTTATCCCCAAGTCTGCTGTCCTTACAAATCCATATGAACTGAGGGAGATCATAGCTGTATGCACAGGGCATGCAGGGTCAGACCTGTTAATCCTCTCTTGTTGTATCTAGTGTTCATGTGAGGACATATGCCTGGGAGCAGGAAACCACTTCACCCTTCTGCAGCTCATGGTCACTCTGAGTTGCCATTGGAGAGGGGTGAGATTCTGGCCTCTTTTTCTCTTGGCAGTTTCCTCCAAATAAAATGTCTTCATGTAACTCAAACTTGACCGAAACTGTTCCGCTCTAAAAGCCAAACCTTTACATTTTCTTTAAGCCGTTACATCAGGTATGATCTGAGGGATAGTTTCAGTCTCCCTCCTAGTACAGCTGATGCAGCAACTCAGCCAGGGGGTTCTCACAGGCCATCACTAGTAGTCTTCATTCCTTACTCAGCAAATAATTATAAATTATTGTAGATTTCATTATCTCATTTAGAGAAGTGAAAATTATTTAGCAGCATCAAGATCAAATGCAAAACTCTAAAAAGTGGCAATAAAACTACTGTTTCAGGCTGCTGTTCCTTTTCTCAAAAGGGAGATGAAAAATATGATTTAGAGATTCAGTCCCAGATCTGCTAAACTTTTATTTGTCTGATACTAAACAAACAGCAGTGACAGAGTTTGTGCACTATGCCTGAAGGACATGGACATTTGCTAAGTAGTAGTTTAGAGCTCCATTGTTTGGGGACAAAAGAGTTTTTGGTTTTTAGAAAGAGAATGGCTGTGTTCCTGTGAGTTAGGGAATCTCATTTTTCCCTGGGTGTCCTGTGCTGTACATGTAACATATGTGTGTGTAGACAATTGTACATATATACATAGATAAGATATGCATGACAGATTTTTTAATTAAAAGAAAAGAGGGTCTGGCTCAGAACTGCATCTAACCACCTTGGGTTTTTTATTTGCCTTTTATCCATACAATCTGCAGCTGCTTAGAGGCAGCTTTGGCAAGCAGCTATGGTGATGAATGTTCAATGCTAGTGATTTATTGTTGGTGTCACTGAAATCTCCAGGGCTTCCCAAAAGCAGATATGATCAGACCTTTACATGTTTTGTCACTATCTCCAGTAAATCATAATTTACTTAGAATTAAAGACAAATAGATTCAGAAAATCCCTACTGAGCAATTACCAGCTTTTACGATTTCTTTATGAATCTCCTAGGTTTGGCCAACAAACTAATCAATCCAGGGTAAAATCACCCTGGTAAAATCGACAGATGCTCGATTTTCACTCTTTGCCTTTCTGACTCACCCCACCTTCTGACAAAGTGCCACCCACCAACTTGGGCATGAACTTACACTTATGGGTGCTCTTATGGGCAGAGGAGGGAAAAGCTAATAATGGCAGCACTTGTCTTCTTCTCCTCTTTTCTGAGCCTCCCAAGCACTGTCCCCCAGCCTGGCAGAAGTGGTGGAAGTCCCCAAAAGGCCTGAGAGAGCTACAAGCAGAGCTAAGAAAGGGAAGCCAGGGAGGGGCAGGAGGGCACGGGTAGGGGGAGCGGGAGGCAGCAGGTCTGTGGGCTGTGGTGTCCCATGGCTTCAGTGGTCCTGCTACCCACACTGGAATGGTTTGTCCAACCCACATTGAAACTGTTGTGATTAAAATGAATTCTGTCTGAATCACATCAGCGCTAAAGATCCCACATTATTCTGTCCATGGAGAAAGTCACTTTGTTGACTTTGGAAATTTGGCCACTGATTCTTCAGTGCTTAACAGTGCCTTCAGTTTCACACTTTGTTGTCAGTCCTGGCGGTTTTAGAGCTTGAAGCTGAAGCATGTCCATAGCCTCTGCTAACACCCTTGGTAAAGGCTCCTGAGATTCCTGCTGTAGTTCAAACTATCCTGTTGGATGTTGTCCAAAGCCATTTCTGTGAAGGACCTGTCATGGCTGTAGCTATGATAGCAGCTTTTATCCCAGCAGAATCATTCCCTTCCAAGCCCTGCCTTGATTTCAGCAGAGCTGGGCTCATGGCTCTGCCTCATCTGGGCTTCTCAAGGCAAGTATTGTAATCTCGTAAATTTTTAATTGAGTGGAGAGTCCTTAGTGGCATGAGTCATGTCAGAGTCATCAAAACCATTCACATAGCAAACACATTTGCACATGGTGGTTCTGAGGTTTAGGGAAGAATTATGACTGAAGATGCATGCATACTTATGTCAGACAAAAAAATTAGTCAGCCCATGGAAAAACCATAGCAGAAAACACACTTGAAATTGCTTACATCACACTATTGATGAGATTTAATTACCATATACTCTACGGTTAGTATGTTATTTCCATGAATAAGGAACCATGTAATCACAATGTGGAAGTTCGGTGTAAAAGAGGTAAAGTAAGCTTTCCTTCCAGTGTGACACCAAAGCTGTGGTGTGTTGGTTAAGCCTTAAATGGTTGTTTGACCTGCGAGACTAAATCTTTATTTTCATTTTGCAACCAGCCTGATAGAGAATGAATTCCAATTTCTGTAACTTTTCAACAAAGGAGGAGTGGGCAGCTGAAAGATTTTTTTATGATAAGCCATTTATTAATAGGATGATGAATTAATTTATTAAGAGGATGATTATCTGTTTTGTGTATTTTTGTAAAATCTGGTTTATGTATTTTGCGTATACAGAGAGCACCAAGCAGTCTTATAGAAAGGAGGATTAGTCCTCCTAATCTATAAGTTTTAACATTGCCTGGAGTATACATTAGCAAGACTCCTGGCAGTTGCAAGTAAAATCTCAGGCTTAAAATGTGACATAACTGTGCATGTCAACTTTGGGTGTGTATATATCTATATGAAATATGGGGGGGTTATCCATTTTACACAGATTCATTTGAGCTTACTTGTTATCTCACGAGTTTTGAATATAGATACATTTATATGCCCGCATTTCTACCCACAAATACACAACTCTATGTGGTACAGGTTTCTGTACATGTATGCCCGCCCATGTAGCTGCATTGGACAAGACTCTCAGCTGTGTGAAACTGCTGCAAGGCTTACTCTAGAGTTGTGCTGACTTCTGTGTCTCTCTCTTGAATACAATGGTCAAATGCTGAGGCTTTCTGTGCTGCACAGGTTCTCCCTTCAAAGCAGCAACACTGGTAAAAGACACTGCATTCCTTGTCCTTCAGGGAGATTTGGGCTCACAGAACTGAAGTGAGAAGACCAGTAATAATTTCTCAGCACTGGTTGCTCATGGCGACAAACGGCACTAAATCTTAGCTCACAGGGCATAGATCTGCCTGTGGGTTCTGCATTAGTGCAGCATCAGATGCTCCCATCCCTTCTGCTGCCCATCTTGGGTGCTAGTGGCAGCAGTCTCCGTAGCCTCTGCCTGAAGTGCTTTTTGTGTGTTACTCTGCATTCCTGAGTGACTTTTGAATTTCTTCTCTTACTCAAAACCCCTCAGATGCAGCTCAGCTCTGAGGTCAGAAAGAAGCACTGCTGATGCTCTTGACTTACATTTTAAAGCAATCAAAAAACTCTCCTCTGCTTCCTCCCTGCTGTCAAACCATATGGCTTTTGGATCTTCAGATATGCTTCCATGCTAGACAAGGTCTGGGTCTCCCTGCACACTGTCAGGATTGTCCAGGGTTCATAGGACATCACAATTTGGACTATAAATCACAGTATTTGAAGAGGTGATCACACCTCAGTGATCCAATTGGATTACAGCAGAATTGACCATCATTTTTTCTGGGAGGAATTCTACATTGGAAACATTTCAATGTTTCAGTATTTCCTTGTTGTGTTTGTGAGTGTGAGTCACTGATATCCTCAGAGCAGACAGTGATAGGACAAGGGGGAAGGGTTTTAAACTAAAAGTGAAGATGTTTAGATGTTAGGAAGAAATCCTTTACTCAGAGGGCAGTGAGGCACTGGAACAAGCTGCTCAAAGTAGTTGTGGATACCCCAGATCTGGAAGTGTTCAAGGCCAGTTTGGAGCAACCTGGTCTATTGGGTGGCATTCCTGTCCATGGCAGAAGGGTTGGAATGAGATGATTTTTAAGGTCCCTTCCAATCCACTCATTCTCTGATTCGATTCTTTTCTCACTGCATCAGGTGCCTCACATGGCAAGGACATATATGAGGAATGGGTAGCAGAACACTGAGCGGGGGATCAAGCATAGTCCCTGGACACAAGGAAGAGGTTTATGTGAAAGAAGACAGAGGCATTCCTGCCCCAAGGATCCACTCAAGGGGTCATGGCAATTACCCTTTTCTCATCCACTCTGCTGTGGTGGATGAGATTTCATGAAGTGAGGCTGAAGTTGCAGTTTCTGCTGGAGAGGACTTCTCTCAGAAGCATCAGTGTTTGCGTCACTTATACCTCTCAAGTGTAGGACTCAAGACTTATGCTCTTAGTCAAATCATGATTGCGTTATTACTCATTGAAGAAAATTGGCAGGAAACCACGCATTCTGGCAGCAAGTCTGAGCTTTCCCTCTTGAGCCCAAATTTGTGACATTTCAGAAAACTGTTCAGTACAATCAAAATGGGGCTTAGTTGCCTCATGGCACCAAAATACTCTTGCAAGTGGGTGGGCTTCACTGTCATGGAGGGAGAGCAACCTTGGAAGGTGCAAATGGATTTAACTTCATTTTAAACAAGGTTTTTTTTCTTCTTGCTAAACAGGTGGGTTGATCCTCTTCCTTTTAGGCAATCACATGAAGCAACACCCTCCTATACAATGCAGCTGCAAATCAAATACACTCTCAGGTTTGCTTCAGTAACATCCTGTGAATCTCTCCTTAGGGACTCTTGGAGACGATGAACCAGACAATTTTGACATTGATTGCTTCAGCCAGCTGGACATTAAGGATCCCTTTAGCAGCCTGACCTGCAATTTTACTGAGCTGCCTCCTCACAACACTAACTATACCCTGTCTCTGTGGTAAGTGCTGTCAGTCTGTCCTTTGGTAAACTTCTGGGAAGTGAAATCCTGAGCACTAGTGAGTCATGTTGCCACATGCTGGGAAACAGGGACAGCAGAGCTAGACAAAATTCTTATTCAGACTGTTTTGCCAAGTTTGAATACTATATTCAGCAAGGAAGAAGAGTTTACTGAAACAGAACATAACTCTCTTATAAGAAAAAAAAAAGAACTGGAAAGGTCTTTAAAGGGGATTATAACACCTCCAATAGTTCTATCTTGCCTCTGTTGTTCTGGAACACCTGTAATTATGAATGCAGCCCAGCATGAACTGAGAACTTTTTTATTTAAATTAAATGATATTTGAAAAAACCCTCAAACTTAGCCTTTATCAACTGAAAAGTAAAAAATGTTTGTGAAGACACAGATCCTTACCACAGGAAGTTCTTTAGCAAGAAGGTTAATTTTCCACATCACAGGAAATGTCTTTATCTAGGCTAAGACTAAACTAAGTTATTGTCTTTGGACACACAGACATGCAAAAAGCACACTAGAACAAGTATGCAAAACCCCAACAGTGACAACACTAATCAGTCATCTCCACTTCTTATCCAGGCCTTGAAACTCTTTCCACCTTTTTTTTCACTGTTCCACCTACCTGAAGAAGCTTAAATTTTGTTTCTTTAGCATACTTCTGCTCTTCCCTTTTCCTGAAAAGGAAAGTTCTGTGACAGCAAGCAAAAGAAGTGGATTTTTTTGTAACTCTTGTTATTCTAACCATTAATTATTTCCTTTTTTTTTTTTTTTCCCCCCCCCCAATTTATTAGAATTTTTCTATTTCATGGGATTTATTATGGATTTTGGCTGAAATTTTATGACAGTCCTCAAACATGGGAGCCACAGAGATGAGAAAACACAGCTCTGAAAGTGCCATATGACTCCTTCATGGCCAGGCTGACTGTTGACCCTGTATCTGCTACCACTTAAATCAATAAGAAATTTTTCTTTATCTTCACTGAGTACAAAACCTATTGCCATATGTTTAAAAACAGCAGCAGTGAGATAATTTTTAAAGATAAAAATATTCAAACAGGTATATTTCTAATTAAAAAATACATTTTTTCTTTGAGAGCTCCATGACTCTTAATGTGATTCATATCACTTGATTATTGTGCTTGAAGACCACAAGGAAAAAAACTATCAGCCTCTCAAACTCCTTATTTGCATGGCATTTTCTCTTATTTCATACAGAGTCTCACTTCAGTTGAAGCGAAATGGGCAATCAGGATCCATCCCTTATAGCAAGTAGTTAATTTATAGTAAGACTGAGAAGAAATTAATGTCATATCACTTTGGCCAACAGTACCAAGGAAGACAACAAGTACATGTGCAACAACATGAAGAAACAGGAAGATGCATACTTCTTACAGTTCACTGATATACTCTCAAATAGAGACCTTTGCGTGTTCTCTGAGACAAAGAGAAGGGTCTGCAGGAGTCTGGTTGTGACTCACATTGGTAAGACACTTAACATCTTGGATATTTTTAAGATATAGGGGTTATTGGGGGCAAAAATAGCCCAGCACAAAGCCTAAGCATCAATCTGGATGACATAGAGGCAGTATAAAGGAGTGTCTTAGCAGGGCATGTAGCCTGGATTGGGGTGTTGTCAGAGTGTGGTTCAAAGCTAAACAAGATTAAGCTCTGTTCAAAATGTGCAGCTGAACTCTGGCTTATTGTGACACTCTGCCTAGACCTGGGCATAGACCAAATCCCCTCCATGGGTGAAGCAGCTGTTCCTGAGTGTAGATAAACTGTCAAGCAGGGACATCTTGTTCATCTCTTATTAGGGATTATGCAGTTTTGGGACTGATCACCCCATGTACAACATGAGCTCGGTAGCACAGGGACCACAAGGTTGCAAGATCTAACTTTTCACACCTTGCATTGTGGTGCATTCTGTTGTCTGAACAAGGTGCACCCTGCACTGAGAACCATGAATGGCCTTGTCAACACCAACTGGGGACCTGCCTGAGCCAAGAAACAGGAAACTCAAGAGGAAGAGGGTGTCCATAGAATCTACCCCTCTTGGGAACTGGTTTCATTCCAGGTCTGCAGAGAAGCCCATGTAGGACAGATTCTTCTCTGTTCTTCTTTGGTGCCAGATAGCTTTGTCTTCCATTGAAGTAGGCACTACAACATCCTTCTCCTGTGAAACATTTTTGCCTCAGTTCAATAGCTTTGTAATAATCTTACACTACGTCTCAGTTTATGGGCCAGCCTGGACCATCTCTGGTGGTTCCTACTCTAGAAACTGTGGGATCTGCATGGAAGGACTGAATATTTGGGGCTTGTAGAAGCAGTGAGCACAATTTATGGCTATATGCATTTTCTTGAGAGGAGGGAGGTGTGGGCATTCACATTTCCATTCCTGTGAGAGCTGATGTACTTTACGAGCTGAATTCAGGAAGCTTCAGTGTCACAGCAAAGGTCCCTAAAGATCTCCAGCACATCCAGCTCAGGCTGTCTGGGGAGAGTCCTGAGGGCTGCATATCAGACTCGATGAACTTGCACAGATGGCCTTTAACCCAGTGTCCAGCAGACCAGGTTGGGTGTGGGTTCGTAGCGAGGGTCTGGAGCCACAGCCCACTCTGCTCTAACACTGTCAGACTTTGTCCCTTCCTCAGACCCACTGCCCTCACAGCCAGCCCCAATAGTTCCTGTACCCAGGAACCTTTGTTGCCCAGTGCCTTCCTCCCAGATGGGTTTTGCAATGGGGCCTCTATCTCAGAGCACTGGTTAGAGGGACTGAATTTCAGGCCTTCGAGCAGTGCTACCAGAGGGGTGGGCATGCTCAGGAATTGCTTTCAAAGGCTAAATGTCACATCCATCACAAGTACCTTCCCTACTAGTCAAACTGCTGCTTCAGCAGGTCAAAACCAAGCCCCTTGCAGGATCTGGGAGTAAGGATGAGCTGGGGCTTAGCATGCCTGGCCCAGGACAGCCCTTGCTTGCTCAGGATAGGTCACCCTGCAGGGGCTTTGAGTTGGACTTTTTTTTTTACTTTTCAAAACCTATTTTCTAGTAACATTATTTGACTCCTGTTGTATCCTGGTTTGTTGTCATTTGCAGTTAAGCCTGAAGTGCCATTTGCTATAAACATCACTTATCAAAGGGAGGCAAATGAATATCTTATTCGTTACCGTACACCACACTCAGGGAAGAAATACCTAGAGGGCAAATTAATGCACCAAATAGCCTATCGGCAGGAAGAAGGTACCTGGAAGGTAAGTGATGTACTGCTGTGGTTTGCACTAATTTCCAAAATTAAACATTATCAAAATTACCAGTAGCATGTAAATATTCTCAAATCTGCATTTCTACAGTTCTCCAGCTGAAAACTTGCAAAAGTGCAATGTTTGGCTCTTGTAAATTTCATGAGTCAAAACAATTTGGGCTAGCAGCACCCTTCTCAGTTAGGCACTCTCTGGGCTAACAAAGTTTTATTCATTTAGGTTTTGCAGTGGGAAGAAAAGACATGATGTGGTGAAGCATTCTAAGTGTTTCGATGGTTTGATTTTTGCTGTGGTACTTTTGCTCTTATTTTCTGTGCTCATCAGCCAGTAAAACGTATACCCTCTTTTCTTGTTTAGCAAGTTTCTTCACATTCCCCTTTTCACTGAGTCTTTCCAGGCTTTGGGTGTGGCCCTGCAGCTCTCCCACCCTCAAACTCCTTGAGGCTACCGCTGCTTGTGAACTGCTTGTGAACTGGGTCTGGTTTGGGCTGCCCAGCTGCAGGGACATCTGTGTCCCTGTCACAAAGGCAGCCACGCAAATACAAGTCACAAAAGCATGGGCCACACCTGTTTTTTATGGAGGAAACACAGTGTTGTCCACAGTTTTTACAGAGGGAACAAATAGGATTTGTTACACAGTGTGCAATGAGCCAATAATGACATGAAAGAGACATTGATTATTTGTTTCAGAATTGTGCAAGCCTGGATGCCCGGTGGTATTCCACAAATCAAACACCCACCTATCAAAACTTTTAACTATTTTATATTACCCTTTTACTATATTACTATATACTATATTACTATACACTATGTTACTACAGATTTTAGCAAACAAAGGAATTAGTGTTTGTTGACTACAAGTTACATAGTTCTTTTATTAATTAGTATTCTATTTTCTATTGGTTAATAATTCTCTCGCTTCTCCTTTTAATTAATCTATGTGTTCAATCTTTCCCTTATTCTAAGTTGGTGAGTTTCTCGGGTTAGTTGCTTGTGACTTGGTGGTCATGATCTGGCCCTGCTGGAAATAGCTTTTACCCAGCTGGAGCTAATTTCAGCACCGTTGCTGAGTTGTTTTTCCCAGTTTCTTCCTTATCTTGGGAGTTCTGCCAGATGTCCTTGTGGTTGTAAATTCTGGATTCTTTGTGTCCACTATCAGTGGTACATCCTTCTTCCCAGGCTTTATTAACCTCCTCCTAAGTCTGAGATAATTCAAACATGCCAAGCCCTAAGTAATAACAAGGCAATTCTACCAACAAGTTTTTCTAACACCTGGGCATCACTTAGAGCTTGTTAGCTGTCTGTTTCAGGGATTATGTCTCCTTTCTTGTTGATTAGACCTGAAAATATACAAAGATCAAAGGACAACCTTTCTTAAGAAAGTTTTACATACTCCACATTTTGCAAAAACAAGAGAACTGTAACTAGAAGGAGAAAAAAAGGGGGGGATTCAGGCAGCAAAATATATTGAAATGAAGAGCACCAGAGCTGCACTGTGGGATTTCAGCTTCAGAGTTCCCTGTAACTTCTCTTTCAGAAGTTGTCTTTTTCTACTGCACAAATGTATTTTTTCACCTTTCTCTCTTCTGAGCCTTCCTAGGGAAGCATGTATTTCCCACTGCAGTGTCGACAGTAGCAAAGCACAGTTGATAGTCCCAGCTGTTTTCCAAAGAACTTTTACCTAGCATTTGTCTTCTTGTCAATACTGTCTGGCATACCTTGCTGTTAAACTAGGTTGATGCCCTGATAAACACCTGTGTAGTAACAAAAGGCATGGAACAAACAGCACAATGTTGCAGGGATGCACTTGATCTTGCACATTTTGCTGAAACTCAAAGGTAATTCTCCATTGTCTGCTGGAAAAATAACTGGATTTTTTTGTGTGTTTAGACAATAGAATCGCCACACGATCACGTAAGATTGTTGGGACAAAATCTCAAAAATAATGCATCGTATGAGGTGAAAGTACGTTCCCAACCCAACGGAAAATTTTTTAAAGGCACATGGAGTGAGTGGAGCACTTCCAAGAGCTTCAGGACAGCAAGAGATCAGCACTCCACAGAGAGCTGTAAGGGCAGAAAATGGTTTGGTCTACCTGGAGGAAAGCAGAGCTGGGGGTCCTGGGCTCCCTGGACACCCTTAGCAGCAGGAGGGATGAGAGCATGGGGAGGGAAGATCCCACAGCCACAACAGGGTCAGCCCTCACAGATGCCAGGCACCCCGAGGAGGGGACTCAGAAAGCAGCTGTATTGCTGCTGGACTGGGGCTGACCCTCCATGTGAATTTAAATCTCACTCACGGGCAATAAATTCAGAGGAGTTGCTGCTATAAGCGCAGGAGGGGGTGGGTGCAGAGGGAGCTGAAGGCTGATTCTCTGTTTGCTGCCAGCTGGCTTGCAGGAGAAGGAAGAGCTTGCACTGAGTGTTTTGAGTAAGGCACAAAGAGCAGTGAAACATGATCTGTTTCAGGGCCCTGGATTGTGTGCAAACATGGCACTTTAATCACAATCACAACACCGGCTAAAATCTCATCTTGTAGTCCTTTGGGTCCCTTCAGTACCCAGAGGCACCTCAGCATTACGTGTGTTGGAAGTCATTTCAGTGCTGCTGTCAGGACACAGCAAATGGTGGTTTCAATGCACTGGAGGTGACAGCAGACTTCAAACTGCTTTAATCCAGTCTGGAAATCCAGTCTGGAGCTCAGCCAAGTGCAGATACTCTGGCAGCCTACCTTTTTCCTCCTCCAGGGAGACAAGAGAAATGGATCATTGCACCAGTCCAACGATAGGCAAGTGCAATTCTTGGAATTAATTTCCAATTTATGATCTGAAAAGACATCACAGTTACAATGGCTTAACAGTAAGACATTTACATGCATTAGCTGATATTCTTTGTTTTCCTTCAGATAGCAGCGTGGTCATGATTATACTCTCCATCCTGGGATTCATGCTGTGCGTTGTTATGACTGCACTGATCATAATTTTTTGGGAAAACAGGTAATCTAACTCTCTTAATATCAGAAAAGGTGTTGGAAGCCAATCCTGTTCTGACAGTCTTACTGCTTTCCCTGCTGTACCTGTGAACTATTCACTCTCCATCTCTGGACCTCTCTATCAAGCTGAAGGGAGGCCAAGAGCAGAAATGGGCAATACAGGAGATAGTGTTGGCAGGCAGAAGATGAACTGCCACTTTGAGCAGAGTTCAGTCTTGAGCCCAAAACACTGGGACTTTTGCAAGCCAAAGTCACCACAAAACATGTATAGAGTCAGTGTCCCGCTGGGGGCAGATTTGACTCAAAAGCAACATCCAGAGCAAGAAAGCGACCTGCAGGTTTTAGTAAAGTCCCAAGAGGTGTGAAAACAGCATACCAGGGAGATTGACTTTTTCCCTTTCACAGGCTGAGTCAGCGGGGTGTTTGCTCTGCAGCACTTTCAGAAGCAGCAGGGCAGAGCCCTCTGCAAAAACAGCTTTATGGTGTCAGACACCAGCTCGGTCAGATCCACATCCAGCCAGCCATGTGGTGAAACCAGGCTCCACATCCTCCACCAAAGCAGTTACAGCAGAAGTGGGACTGGAGATAGATTCATTACCCAGGAAGTCCTTTGTCTGCATTGGGGTTTCTTTATGTATTTGCTACACAGCAGTAGACAGATAACTGTAAATACAATTTCAACCACATGGCTATATATACTCATAGGGCATTAAGAGCTGACAAATTTAAGAAAGTGAACAGATATGCAGATAATCTGGTGACACTAGAATCTAAAGTGAAAAAATTCAAGTTTAAATATAGAAGATTAACTCCTTGCAAGGCAGAAAGCCCAGGACTGTTCAATGGCTTTCAGAGCAGCCTGTCCACGACATCCACCTCAAGAGAGGTGGCTGTGTGGGAGCTGCTTTTTCGGCACATCATTTAGGCTGTGCTAATTTCTGAGTTAAATATGGGGTTTGCCATCAGCCAAACCATGCCAAGAACAATTTTAATAACTAAACATTTTAGACACTGGAGTTATCTGCCCTAGTGCTGTTTTATTTGCAAGTACAGACATAGCTTGAGATTTCTATTTCTTGTATTTTACTGTTGCTGGCAACCTGTACTTCTCTAACTTTGCTAGAAGTTTTGCTTATGTAAAACTGCAGCAGAAACAATTGAGACTTTTGGATCCCAGATATTTCCATGTTAAAAAAAAGAGGGGTTTATATATGTGTGTATATACACCCACTTATAGAGACACATAAATAAAATGAAATATATATTCATACACACATACAGTTATATCATTGCAACATTGAATTTCAGTTGGACAATATTCTCTAGATGCATCCTAGCTGGAGGTATGCAGCAGAACAAACAACATGAGAGTGAAAATAAGACCTGTGGGACAAGGCTACAGAACAGATATCTGAGACACAAACAGCTGGCCAAGGAGTAGGACAATATGCTGTTCTTTGACTTATGTAAACATGCAGCAGAAAATATCAGCAAATTTGTACTTTAACCACAGCATCTTCTTGCACTGGCAGAAACCAGTTTCACCACACAGAGCCCTGTTAACACAGCTAGATGCAAACAAGCTCCTTGCCAGCACAATTTGCTGCTTTTCCAGTACTTAGCGAAGTGTCTTTCTTTAACTATGACAATCTGTGCACTCAAGAGAGCAATGGCGGCCTTTACAACTCCTCTTCTCCTGTCTGTTTTATTCTGTGACTTTTCTGTTGTTATTCTGGATAATGCAACCCAGCCCTAAAGCTTTGTGAGAATTAGTACCAATGATGCAATATGAACCTCTGATACCTCAACATATCCCTCCTTTTGCTGCTTTTTGTCTGCTGTTGCTGTTTCAGGATCAAGCCTGCTGTATGGCCAAACCTTCCTGATCATAAAAAAACACTGGAGAAACTATGCAAGAAGCCAAAAAATGTATGTTCTTCCACTGTTTTTTTCCACCTGAGTATAGAACGTTGGGAACAAAACTAACACTCATGAGAGACAATACATGCATTTTCTGCACTAATTAGGACATCTTTCAGAAATTCTGCTACATTTCACTGAAGAGAGCCCACAATTCCACAGGCAGATGCCAGCCAAGGGTATGGAAATAACAGACAATTCAAATAGAGGCTGAGCTTCAACTCATACAAAGTAACTACAGAGGGCTTGAGAACTTGATGTATGAAGAAAGGCTGAAAGAATTAAGGTTTTTTAATAGAAACTGGATATAAGTAAAGAATCTTTCTCATGAGAATAATTAAATATTGTGTAGTTTGCCCAGAGACAAGGTAGATTATCCTTTGGGAAAATGTTCAAGGCTTGGCTTGATAGGGCTCTGGATAACCCAACCCAGGTCACGTTTCTCACACAAGGTTGGACTCCAGAGGTCTCTTCCAATCAAGATGCTTTGTTGATTCTGTGAAACTGTGATCATAGGGCTGGATGGGGACCTTTTGCAAACATCCCTAGTGATGTCCACGTACCCTTACATGGTCAGCAGAATTGTACATACACATGCAGTACATGAACTGCTCAGCCAGTTAAAAGCCAGATGGGCAAACGCTACAAACCATAAGGTATGGGTTTAACCTGTAGCATTAAAGCTGTATGTCTAATTCATTTTTTTCACAAAGAAAGTCATCAGTGCTGTTCTCTCCAGCTGGTACATTATCAGCACGTTCTTAATTTAACAGGAGGTCTAAGACAACTCTCCCACCCCCTGTGCTCCCCAATGCAGGGATTTCTGATGTGTTTCAGAAAGTCATGGCAAACTTTTACTTCCTCTCTGCTAAGTTAAGAAGGTAAAATGGAAAAAAATTGCCTGGATGGACACACTCAGTCCTGTGAAATGGCAGGCATGCAACAGATGGGTGTGTCAGAAAAGTCTCTGAGACTCCAGTTCCCACCACATCATGTAGAGTATGAAACACTTTGCAGCATAAACACGCTGCCTTCAGGAGGACACAGTATAGATCTAGATTAATAGGGAAAGAGATTTTCAGCCATGTGATAGTTTATTCTCTGCTAACCTACTGTTCAGTGTGCTCAAGGTTACATCCAGAGTTAATGAATACCCTTTTAAAAACAAATAAATTATCAAAGTACCTTTTCTCTTAAGCTATTACCCACTGTTAACTAACTGTGCTGTTCCCTTTGCCACACAGAATTTTGATATAAGCTTTAACCCAGAGAGCTTTGGTTATGTTCATATCCATAAAGTGGACAGTATTCAGGCAAAAGCTGAACTGGAAAATTTTCTGCAGCCATCAGTTGCTCCAGAGACAAGTCTTCCAGAAAAATTCAGGAAGGGATCAGACCTGAAGATGATACCTGCGATGACAGACAAAAGCAACCTAAATCTGTCTGTGACTTATGGAGGCCTCTGGCCAGCTGAGGCCCCACACAGACTCCTGGGCACAAGTCAGTTTGCAGTCACGGAAGGAGACTGCAGCTCCAGCACGTATGAGGTGTGCCACGGCAACAGCGTGCCCCTGCACAACAGCAGAGGTTCCAACCTTTCCTTTGCTCCTCCCCTGGATCCCTCTGGCCAGCCCAGTCCAGAGCCCCCAGATGATGACACTGTATCCCAGATGCTGTCTAACAGTGAAATGAGATCACCAAACAAGGAGGAAGCCTATGTAACAATGTCCAGCTTCTACAAAATTCAGTAAACCTTGCAAGAATGACGACATGTCTTTTTTTTTTCTCTAACACAAGCAGGACATTGAAGCTTTCTGTTTTGTTTTCCTGTATCCTGCGTGTTCCCGCCTCCTCCACTCACCCTGCTCACAGTGCAATGCTGTATCTGCAAGAAAGTCGGTTCTCCTACGTTCCAGCTAGAAGTAGCCTAACTTCAGCACTCAGTACACTGCTAGCAGTCTCCACTGCAGCAGAAACTAAATTTAATTCAACCTGACTTTAATCTTCAAATCTGATTAATTTGGAGCAACAACAGTGCAGTCCCAGCTGAGGACCACAACATGTCTTGTAAAAGTTAATGAACTCTTCTGTTACTCTCTTGGTTACAGAGATGCGCTCTTATTAATGCCTAAGCAAGAAATACGGCAACATATTCAAGATAATCAGAACCCAATCCCTTTTAAACAGTAGTAACTCAAGGGTAATTCCTCTACAGTCAGGGTAAATTCATGAGTTTGCAAAAAGACAGTAAATCAGAGTTGCTATCAAGCATTAACTGCCTGGGGATTCAGGATCTTGAACACCACAAATAGATTTAGCTGAGTCCTCAGGAGAAATAGTACATAGACCCACTTTAGAAAGATGTTTCCTGAGGCTGATTAAGTTTTGGTGGGGTTTTTTTTGGTTTTTTTTTTTTTTTGAGACACAAAACAAAGTAAAACTCTACATGCCACTGCTTTTTGCTGTTGGCAAAGATCTGCCCTGGAGCCAATTACAGGATCCACGGGTACTTCTGATACTTTTAACGTTTTCAATATTTCAACTATGTAAATCGAAGTCCTTTCTCTTCCTAGAAACTGAATTAGGACTGTAAAATGCACAATGCTGTCTTTCTCTGCAGCTCTTGTGCAGGCATTAGTCCAGCATGTAAGTACTTTTCAGGGCAGAGGCTGAGCTGACCATGTTTTTTTACTAGCATTATTCCCAATGGCTGTGACTGCATATGAATACTATGAATTTGGATAGGCAATGTTCTCATGCAACATCTGACTTAGGAAAATGAATGGAATGTCATGAATTCTGCCAGTGATCAGAAGACCTATTTTCTTTTTTAAAGTAACTTGTAAATTGCCAGGAGATAGTATTTAGTTTCTTGTTGGAGAGGCGATGTTGTTTGTTTGGGTTTGGGAGTTTGTGGGGGTTTTTTGCATTGTGACTTTTTTCTTCTTTACAGTATCACATTTTATTTTTTTTCTTTTACATTATGGCTGAGCCACTTCACAGTGCTCCTTAGATTCTGTACATTGTGGAGTACATACTTGGAGATAAAGCTGCTACAGCCACATGATTGCATGAGAGCAGAGCAGTGTGGCCTTGGGACATCCAAACTGCTTTGTTGCCCTCTGGGATTCAGGTTCACCTCACTGTGCAGTCTCAGTTCCTCTAGCTGTTTGAAATTCTCCTTTACCAAACTGTATTCACATTTCCAGAGTCTAAGGGTGAAAAGAGTCCTCTCTCATGCTCAAAGCTGCTCAAATTTGTTCTGTCTGGTAATGGTCACAGAGATGTTGCAAAACCTCAGCTGCTTCCATCTGCCTTTGCCAAGACAGCTTTGTGCCAGGAGAACATCAAAATTAATATATCTTGTGGTCTAATTTCAAGAAGATATGGCAGAGAGTGGAGCTTGCATTAAACTCCATTGCTTGAATCAGAATTTTATGCTGCAGAAGACAGACAAAAAATTCTGGACCATATGAAGCCAAAAACAGCCCTCCCAAGACAGTACTCCACCTTCTTCACCTCCACTCAGCACCAGGGAAACCTTCAAACGGGGAGAACTTATAGTCACTGTGTGCAATGGGGCCTCAGATTTAGCTCAAAGCATTCCAGTGACATTTTACAGAATGGTTTTTACTGCTGTTTATTGCTGAATGAAGCACTGGTTGATGCAGAAGAAAAAGATGAAAGCCCTGGACATTCATTTGGTTTACAACGCTTGTATTTTTATTCAAAAGAGCTGCTGGTCATGCTCATACTGTGTAGACTTGCACAGTGTGACTGTAGATAGAGACAGACTGTACTGGAAAGATATCTTCTTCCAGCAAAACAGGGACAAACAAAAAAGGGGATAGAAGAAGAAGAAGTAAAAGCACATCAGGAAAATTCTCTATGGCATGTGCTATGCTTTCTTCAATTTTATAGCCATCAACAAATTTGATGGTCATATTCCTATATAATCACTTTTTGGAAAAAAAAAATAAAGCCAAATTTGCACCAAAGCCAGAAGCACCACAAGTATTTCTTGTCTAATGCCAGGTTAAATATAGGACAACACTTTACTGAGTAGTTTCCTTATTCTACAGGACAGAGCTTTCCTATACCTGTTCACAACTACCATCTGCCTCAGTATCCACACAGGAGTATTGCTTGGCTTTCACATACTCCATGCACTTTCTTTAGTTCAGCATAATCTTCCTCCTCCACACTTTCTGCCTCTGGTGCTCTTACTCGGCTGCACATCCAAAAAGAAGTTGGTGACCCTGGTTTGTATGTAGCTGCCTTATGACACAGGAGCTGCTTGCTCCTTTCTCTGCATGTGCCCGATGGAATTTGACAGCTCTTCTGCAGTTGTGGCACAATACAGATGCTCTCCTATCTTTATTTCTCCCCTTATCTATGTGCAGCTCATTTGCACTATGCAAATGTCTCCTAGCTATACACAAATAAACTTGGACTGTTGTCAGTTACAACACTGAGTCATGGACTAATTTTAATGATGTTGAAAAATGTTAATTACATTATCCCCTGCTTAAATTGTCAGCTTGTTTACCAAATATACTCCTCTTGTGCATGTTCATCAGACGGGTTGAAAAAACACACATAAATGCTCTGTGTGTCAGTGGGGCAGCACAAAACCAATAAGTGTGGGGAGGCAGGAGAATTGCTTCTGCCAGGGTGAAGGGATGGTTAAATGCATGTGATGTGAAGTCTAGGCTGTGAAACAAATGGTGTAGCAGTGGCTTGACCTCCACTGCCACAGGGACACGTGGCTGAATTCAGTAAGTTTTTGGCAGGCAGAAGCTGACCAGGGAGCCATCTCTTTTGTCAGCAAGGGACCTGGCAACGCTGACAGCGTATTTCTGCAGGGCAGGAGTGCAGCCCCTTCTCAGCTACTTAGCAGAAGTGTTTATTGAGTCAAAGACCTGACTTAATTCAGTAACGCTGCAGTGCTGGAGCCTGTGGGGAGCAGAAGTTGGATTTTAGACAATATGCTTTTGTCTAAGCAAGCTAGTTATCTCTGTAGTTGTGGCTTTCTGAAACTATCCTTTAAAACCAGCTAAAACGTCACATAAAGGATTGAGCTTCTTGCGTTGGGGAACAGATCTGCTGCTTTGTCCTAAAAAAAATAATATAAGAAGAGTTATTCCAGTTATCGTTAAATATTGACTGCATAAATTAGATGTCACAGTAAAATTAGATTTGTCCAACATCAGCACCATCACAATGAACGTAAAAAGCCTCAAAGGTTTGTCAGACAACAAAAAAATGAGACACAAAGCAGAACTGCATTGATGGAAATGTCTAAAGGAAAAAATATCTGCCACAAAGTTGGAGCTTCTCTAACACAAGCTAGTATTTGGTTTTCCAGGAAAGGTACAGAAGCTAAAAAACCCCAAAAACCAAAAAACAAAACCAAAAACAACAACAACAACAACAAACAAACAAAAACAAACAAAAACAAACAAAAAAACCAAACCAAAACAAAAAAACCCCAATTTGTACATTTTGAAATTTAAGAAAAATGTGTTTCAGCTTTTGGCAAAACCCCCATGCTTTCAATGAAAAAAAGAAGAGATTCATCTCTGGAAAATAAACACTTCTCACATTTTACCACAACCGCTGCTTTTCCACAGAAAAACAGGTTCAATTTAACTTCCACAATACCTTGTGCTTCCTTTCTTTCTCATTTTTTCCTACTTGTCAAGACATTCAAAAAGTCTGGATGCTGTCCCCAGGCTTCAGCTGCAGCTCCTGTTGGGATCAGCAGCAGTGTTACGAGCTGGGAAGAAACCTGCATCCAGGTTTTGGCAGAGACGGGGCTGCCGTGTCTGGGGTGGCTGCAGACCAGGGAGCTGAAGATCTTCTGTCCTACAGCGCTCCCTCCTCCTGCAGTCGCCGTTAGCGTGAGAGTGGAAACGCCTCTGGAGCCAAAACCAGTGCTCACTTCGGAATCACGGAGATTTCAAACCTAGCTGAGGCAAACTAGGATAGTCGAGGGGTTGCTGCGAGTAGTGAGGCTGCTCTGAGCCACCCGAGGACCTGGTGTTAAGTACAGTCTACTGGGAAACCCGCTTTCTGCTCACCCTGTCCTCCTGAGAGGGAGGATTGCTGGAGAAACAGAGTGGGCTGTAATCACAGCAAAAGCCACGGGCAGTGGGCAGCTGCTGACAGTGGCAGGCTGCTCTCGGCATTATCTGTTTTCCTGGGGAAAGCTGAGTGTTCTGGTGCTGCTGCTGCTCCCAGTGGGCAGGACAGGAGCTGGAAGGCAAGAATCCCTGAAAGCACTGGTCTCGCTCCTTCTGCCAGCTGCTGACAAGGTAGGCCATGAGCCCAGCTCTGGAATAGCAAAGTTGTGCTCTGCCCACGCATCTGCAGAGGTTTGAGAAGGCACTGTGTAGAAGGAGTTACGTAAAGGCTTTTGTACAGCAATGTGCACAGGTGGTTTCATCTGCAAAACTTCAGCTGCTTCCATTTGCTTCTGCCAGGAGCTTTGTGCCAGGAGGGCAGCAAAATGAATCAGATCACTGAATATATCTTGTGGTCTAGTTTTAAGAATATATGGCTGAGAGTGGGGCTTGCATTAAACTCAGCTGCTTGAAGCAGAATTTTATGCTGCAGGAGACAGTGTAAGCCAAACAACAATTCTGTACCATATCAACCCAAAAATTTCCTCTCCAGGACAAAAACACAAAGCCACCAATAGCACAAAAAGAGCAAAATCAAAATGCAATGAAGCATGCTGCAGAAGTGCCACCTTTCCCAGGGAAACCACCAGAAGAAAAGGCTGTTCCACACCTCTTTGCCCTCAATCCTTGTGTTTTTTTGGGGTGGTCGGATGTTGTCACAGACATGCTCTGATGGCTCAGGCAGAGGCAGGGAGCTGGGGCAGAGTTTTAGGGGAGTTATAAGGGTGGCTTTTCCCTCTTTTCCTCAGGGCTCTACCAGCAATTTTGGAGCAAGCTTTGGTGCTGCCTGGTGGGGAGGGCAGAACTTATCCCTGTCAAGGCACTGTGCCACGGGGGCAGGCTGGAGCTCAAGGTGCAGGTGAAACCTCTGCCTCTGGGACTGCCCCACAGCCTTGCAGACTCAGATGCTCCTATGGTTTGTGCCATCCTGTTTAGCATCTGTTGCACAATCAGAAAGAAGAAACGCTGCTTCAAACATGAAGCACCAACCAAGATCTACAATCTTGATGCTAGCACTAGATATGATGGTGTGCATTGCCACCTATCTCCCAAAATCTGCTGTGTGTGCTGTGCAGCCACAGGCTGGCAGGACAGCCTGCATCTCCACCTATCTCCTGCATCTGGTGGGTCTGTAGCCAGCATACAGCAGCCTGCAGCTGAACACAGGCATTTCAGCTTAATTTTTGGCTCTCCCCGATTGCAGACAGGGACAGTGAAGTGCTAAAGGATGGTTCTGAAGGGCACTTGCTGTTAGCCCTGATAATCCTTCATGTCTGCTTAAAATCCCTTTAACCTGCCATTAAGCCCTGAAAAGTGCTTCCTTTGAAACTCCAATGTGTTTGCTCAGTGTGTCATTATGGCTGCATGTCTCCCAGGAGAGATTTTCCTACCTAGCAGTTGATGCAATGCCTCTGTTTGTTCCATGAATTTGTACACACATAAATCAAATTACAGTTCTTATAGGACAGATTCCACTTTGTTTTCGACATCATCTGATTAAGAGTGAAAAATCATGTTACTCCTTCTCAGATTATTAATTTTTCTCCTGGAAAAACTGTGCCTATTCTGCAGTTACCAGTTTTTATTCAGACTGCTCCAAGAGCAACTCTGTTCCTACAGAAGTGAAAGGAAACTTTGCCACTGACTTCTACAGAATCTGAAATCAGCCCTTGGAAACATGGTTCTGTACAAATGTTGAAATGCCTTGTCTGTGAACAATGTTCTTATGCTGAGAAACTTACCCAGTAAGTGATGAGGTCCATGCACAGGCAGACCTGAGGAGCTGGGAACTGCTCTGAAAGCACCAGGGATACACCACCAGGATGAGGGGGTTTGAGCTCTCCTGGCTCATGTCCTTCAGATCCCCACACAAACTCTGTTAGTCAAGCTCAGCGTAGAGATCTTGTCCTGAAGCACTGGCTTTCCCCAGCACTTTCCCCAGCACTGGCTTTCCCCAGCCACCAAAGGCTCAGCTAAGACTCCCAGAGGTCAGTGACAAAGCTTCTGCTGGTTTTAAAAAAGAACAGTTGCTTTATGTACTACTCCTCCTTTCTGAAAAAATATATTTTAGGGGGATTAAGTAAAACTGGAAGGTATTAGTAATCAAAGACAAACTGGTTGCAGTTATTCAGATTAAAACTTCCACTGCACTTGATTAAATATCAGCCTGTCAGATCGCTGTGGGGTCTGAAGACATGAGATAGCATGTCAAAAGGAAATGTTTTTTTCATTTTGTGATTCCCACAGTCCATCCACAATACTTTCTTTTTATTTGAAAGAGAAGAGAGATAGCACGACAGCTTGCTGTAAAATCAATTAATAAAAGAGAAATAAATGGCTTCTACTGAAACTGCCAAAACATGTACAGCTCCTATTTGATAGCAAGTTTGGTTTTTATGCATTTGGCACTTCAGCAGCATTGCTGCAAGTAAACGCTCCTCTTATGATTGATGGCAATCATAAGGAGAATTTTTCTACCAGCTTCCAGTGTCAGCCAGTATGCAAGTTTCTGGAGGCTTACAGGTCAAAGAAAATAATTGAATTTGCACAGCCTTCCCTAAGGAATTTCAAGCAGCTATTGCTTATACTGAGATCATGATGGAACAAAACAAAAACAGGGTTTGCACAGGATCACTGCAGCAAGCACTCAGGACTTCAGTGTTTGAACTGTTAGCAACCCAGACCAAGTAAGAGTGAGACTTCATCAGAAAGGCTCTTTTGAAAGTCTGGTCTATAACCCTGTACTGCTTTTAGCTGGCTGCCAGCCTGAAATGGAGCAAATGCTGCCGTGCACAAGCCAGTTACTCTTTGCTACAGCAGCAGCTTCTCAGTCTGGGAGAGCAGCAAATGACGAGAGAGAAGCAGAAAGTAGAAGAAAAACAGAACTAAAGCAGGGATAATTAGACAACACACACACACAGCATTCTTTTTGTTTATTTGTTTGGTTTTTTAACAGTTTTCTTTGTGCACCATTTCCACATTGCACCATTGTGCACCATTCCCATGTGCACCATATCAAATCAGTCCAACAGTTTAATTACCTAGGTAGCCTCATCTCCTTGGACACTAAGATTGACAGAGAGATAGACAACAGGTTAGCAAAGAGTTTGGCAAAATAAACACTTGAAGAAAAGTCATCATGGCTAGGCTTCGCGAAGGAAGATTTGGGAAGGCTCTATCCACATTTGTTACAAGCACGCTGGTGGCTAATAAGGGCAATACGAGATAGACATGTTGAAGAAAAGTACAAAGATCAGTGTTTATAGAGCCATAGTGCTGTTTACTCTCTTATATAGATCTGAATCATGGGTCATCTACCGCCACCACCTGTGACTCCTAGAATGCTTCCATCAATGCTGTCTCCATACAATCCTAAACATCCACTGGTCAGATTATGTGACCAATACATCTGTTCTAGAACAAGCAGCAGCCACAAGTATTGAGGCCATGTTGCTGAGAACACAGCTGCGTTGGGCAGGACACATCTCCAGGATGAAGGACCACCGCCTCCCTAAGATCCTGCTTTATGGTGAACTTGCCACCGGCTGCCGCAAGAGAGGAGCCCCGAAAAGAAGATACAAGGACTCCCTGAAACAACATCTCAGCCTTGGCCATATTGATCAACATAACTGGTCTACTCTGGCCTCCAGTCGGGAGGTCTGGAGACACACCATCTATAACGCTGCTGATGCCTTTGAGAACGCAGGCAAGATCACTCTTGAGGAGAAAAGACAACGCAGAAAGAATCGTGCCTTGCAGAATATACCACCTAAGGAGTCTTTCTGCTGTGCTTTTTGCAACCAGACATGCCTATCTCATACTGGCCTTTTTAGCCACCAACGCGCTTGTAACAAATGTGGGTAGAGCCCTTCCCAAATCTTCGTTTGCGAAGCCCAGCCATGATTTCCCCACTGTATGGGCAAAGGACAAAAGACAAACCAAGACAGCTTCATTGGTGTGACAACGAAGACAGGTTTCCAATCTTTATTCAGCATCAGAAAAAGAACTGAAAAGCAAAGATATCTCAAGAATTTTCATCTGGTGGACAAGTTACAAGCTCTATACTTCCCAGAAGTCACAGCTTGGTCATAAACCCCTGTAAATACAAAAAAGTAGTAAGCAACTTTCAGTGTAGGTATGTACAGACAACAGTTACTAAGCCAGCAAATGTTCCAGGAACATAGAGAAAAAAATACTGTAACACATTTATCCCCTTTAAGAAAAATATTAGTAAAATGATCTCACAGTACAAAAATAAAGGAATCAAAGCAGGAGAAGGCAAGTGGAAATCTATAAGCAGGCCCACAGGGGTTTGAAAAAAAGCATGCAGAGGAAAGATGCCTGCATGTTTAGTTGTGAGTCAGGGAGAAAACAGGGCTTTAAGAGCATTTTGCAGTTCTGGTCCATGTCTCCCCTTCTTGATTTGTTTCTCCCTTCAGCCTCCCAGCACTGGGAACTCAAATGTTCCCAGGAGAGAGATAAGCAGCTGCTGCATTCCTCAAGGAGCCAAGAGCTACAGGAGCCTGCAGTGCTACAGGTGAAAGGGCTATGTGACCCTCTTGGGACAGACTTCCCATTTATAACAGCCTGCCCAAGGCTGTAGGAAAAATCCTTGGTTCCAATTTAAGAAAACGGCAAAAATACCTGCTGGATAAAGAAGGCAAAATACGATCGATTATTGTAATTATATCATTAAAGGAATTAAAGAAGTGGTCCCTCGGGGGCAAAACGCAGCCAAAGCTTTGGATGAAAAGCAAAATAAAGATGAGTCACCATCGGAATGGTTGAAAAGACTGAAGAGAAATATACAACAATATTCAGGAATACAGCTAGACAGTCAAGCAGGACAAGAATTATTAAAAGTTTGTTTTGTAACTCATTCTTGGCCAGATATTAGGAAGAAATTAGAAAAGATAGAGGATTGGAATGAAAAAGGATTGAATGAGTTGTTGAAAGAAGCTCAAAAGGTGCATGTCTGAAGGGATGAGGAAAGACAGAGAAATAAGATCGAAATAATGGTGGCTACTGTTAAAGAAACGAATAAACAAACACTAGAACAAGAAGATGACCACTGCAAAAAGTGTTACCAAAATGCGTACTGAGACAGGTGTGGTAACCACCTTTATGGCATATGAATACGTGAACAAAGCTTGTTATGATAAGAAAGAATTGGAAACCTGTGTAGTAGGTAACAGGTGCTATGGAGTGGAAAAGAATTTAGGGTCAGAAGGAGCACGATTAGGATCATACTGCCCCGTGGGTGAGGCATGGATTTGTTGGGACATCATCAGTGAGTCAGGAGTCCCTGACCTAATAATAGAAGAAATCATCACAGATACCGAACAAAAAACATCTAAAGATCACCTACTACTGTCACAGTTGAATGATTTATATTCTGAACTAACAAGAGAGGAGAACAGAGATTTTGAACTCCCCACAGTGGGGCAGAATTTGTTTGTTCATCTAGCAGAGAAAATTGCTAAAGGGTTAAGAGTGAATCACTGTTTGGTTTGTGGGGGACCTTTAATGGCAGAAGAATGGCCCTGGAGAGGTTTTAGTCTAGATGCTCGAGAAATACTCAAGGGAAATTATACATTCTCTCATAATAAAGCAAATAGGCCAGAAGGGTAGATATTAAGCTCCACAGTGATAGCAAGGGATTGTATACAGAGAACAGGAACTCGTTTTGTACATCCAGTTGGGGAAACCCCGTGCAAACAAACTCTAAAGACTAACTTCACTCACAGTGAGTATTTTCCACAAGCCCCAGCTGACTATTGGTCAAGAAAAAGAAGCCCAGCTGTGAGTGGGATGTAAACCGGAAACTCTACCAATGCAACAAAACCAAAATAAACCCTTTTTCCAGAATAAAAGAAATATCAAAATTTTGGGACAACGTTGATAACATGTCCAAAAACTTTTGGAAGGCATCCAATGGGTTCTTTTGGATTTGTGGAAAAAGAGCGTACACAATGTTACCAGAAAATTGGAAAAGCTGCTGTGCCATAGGAATAATTTTGCCTGGATTTTTCCTACTACCCTTAGAAAGCGGGGACAAATTAGGAGTCCTGTTATACGACTCCCTTAACCGAGAAAAAAGACAAATTAAAGAGAAAATACCCTATATCAGGATTAAGGGATACTCAATAGGAGGAACCCAAAAATGAGGAGAGGAGGAGTGGCCTCCTGCGAGAATTATTGATTATTATGGACCAGCTACATGGGCACAGGATGAGACATGGGGTTATCATATACCTGTTTATATGCTCAGTTGAATCATACAACTACAAACTGTAGTTGAAATAGTCATAAATCAGACTGCAGGGAGGTTAGAATTAATAGCCGAACAACAGTGTCAAAGCAGAGCAGCCATATACCAAAAGAGATTAGCCCTAGACTATCGTTTAGCAGAAGAAGGAGAAGTCTGTGGACAATTTAACACCTCAGACTGCTGTTTACAGATTTATGATAATTATGAAGCCGTAATGGAAATAGCCTCCAACATCCAGAAATAGCCCATGTACCAGTCCAAAAATGGAATTCCATAGTAGATGGAGGGTGGTGGACTAACTTATTCAGAGGGGCATGGTGGAAGCAAGTGGGGCTTTTCTCATTATGTGCTATCTCTGGATTATTGTTTCTACCCTAATCTCATGTTTTATGAGATTAATTTCTAGTGTTGTCCAAGGAATGCAATTAACTGCCATGCCAGTGGATCCAAAGACCACTACAACCAGAGGCCTGGGAATCCAAAAAATCATGATCTTGCGGCTGGCCCCCAAGCAAACTGAAGACATGGGAAAGGCGCAGAAAGCATTACTTGAGTGGGACCTTACCAAACAAATGGAAAGAATGGATGAAGCACAAGATGTATTACCGAGTGGGAACGGACTCGAAAGGCCCAGAGAGAGTTGACATAAAAGACTTATAATAAAACCATGAATAAAGAGAAAAAAGGGGGATTATGAGGTATAAATAATCTGGTTTTATTATAAGCAAAATTAATTTAGTGGAAAACAGAAGGGGGTGGGATTTTCTTTTGTTTCATTTAATTCCAAGATTTTTTTAGGCATATCATGAAAGCTGTAAGGTGGAAGGTCCTGTCTGGGCCTGACGCCAGGGAAACTTTGTGGCCGGGAATAGGGAAAAGTATAAAAATAAAAATGTACTCTCGGCCACGTGGACGACCTTTGTGTGCAGAGAGACTCCCCTGTACAGTGTACGGGGGGGATATGTCACAAATCAATCAAGAGGGAGGGTAACACCCCCTCCTAAGTCTGAAAAATTACCTTTTAAGGTAAAATACCTGACACCTACTGAATATGTAACAGCTTATATAACCAAGAGAATACAAAAAGGCATGTTTTTCAAATGGCAGTGTGCTTTCCAGGCCCATGTCACTTAGGATTGCACCCAGCGCTACAATAAAGAACTTCTTGCTGTAATTTTCCTTGTCCAGCAGGTATTTTTGCCATTTTCTTAAACTGGAAGCAAGGATTTTTCCTGCAAGACCACCACACTTTCAGAATATTTTGGTTTTCTCCTCTTGTCAAAGAGAGCTGTATCTAACACTGGAGGAGGGGATATGTTCAGGAGCCTCAGGGACCTACTGCAGATGTCTGAAAAGAAAGGAGCAGCTCATCTGAGAAAAGAAAAGACATGCCAGGATGTAGGGAGAAAAGGGACAGATGTGCGGGGTGGCTGGATGCCAGATCTGCTCTCTGATTATTCTCCAATCCCCTGAAGCTGAGCCTACTGAAGCATCTGGGAATTAATTCTGCAGATTGATTGTAATTGGCATAGTTACTGAAAACTGTTGTTAGGGAACATGAGGGTGTTGTTGTGCATACACTTAAGAAAAGAAACCTACCGAAGGTGGAAGTCAAGTTTTGCTTCTTTAACCATATTATCAGAGTTTCCAAGCAGTCTTCATCATGACGATAAAGTAGATATCCGAATCAATTGAAGCACTGACTCCTGCATAATAGTTCATGAATTCTTCTGTTGTGACCTGAGACAGAGAGATTTAAAATAGGAAAACAAATATTTTCTTTTAATGCTGTAAGTCAAAACCACACATGGAGGTGTTTCTTTAGGAAACAGAACATCTGCTATTTCATGTTGTTGCTAACAAAAAGGAATCAAACAGGAGGCAAAAAAAGACACAGAAAAATTGCTTAAGTTCACTTCTTTGCTAGACATGAGCTCTTGTCTAGCATACAGAACACTTGGATGGACATGAAACTTGTGAAGTTCACAAACATTACCAGGAACTAAAGTTAAAATCACTGTTGCCTAAGAAGACAGATGTTTAAAGTACTTTTTTCCAGGGACGATATGATCTGATTCTTTGTGTTACTATTAATAAAGGTGGATGGGGTTTCTGATACAATCCAGAGACAACTCAGAACTTTATATCTACCCACAGAGAGAAAATATCATTGCTCTAAACAAGTCTCGCTTAATGAAGTAATTAGTTTTTCAAATACCTAAGGGTTTTGAATATCTTTCACAGGTACTGTGAGGTGGAATCATTTTAAAATGACCATTACAAAAAATAAGGATAAAATTAGCAGATGAACAGTGCATGTCTCTCGTGGTGTCTTAACTCTTGAACCATGTAGCTCATTCTTTGAATCAACAACACACAGAAAAATAAAAACAATTAAAAAGGCATTATGTTATTAAAGAGGGTACAAAGGAGGGCCATGAGGATGGTGAATGGCCTTGAGGGGAAGCCTTGTGAGGAGCAGCTGAGGTCACTCAGTTTGTTCTCAGCCTGTAGAAGAGGAAACTGAGGAGAAATCTCATGGCAGTCTACAATATCCTCACGAGGGTAAGCAGAGGGGCAGGTCCTGATCTCTTCACTCTGTGGTGACCAGTGATAGGACTTGAGGAAATGCCCTGAAGCTGAGTCAGGGAGGTTTAGGCTGGATATCAGGAAAAGTTTCTTCACCCAGAGGGTGGTTGGGGCATTGGAACAGGCTCCCCAGGGAAGTGGTCACAGCACAAGCCTGACAGAATTCAAGAAGTGTTTGGACAACACTCTCAGGCACATGGTGGGATTCTTGAGCTGTCGTGCCCAGAGCCAGGAGTTGGACTCAATGATCCTGATGGATCCCTTTTAACTCAGCATACTCTATGAATCTATGATATTTACTCTGATTGCATTGTGTGTTTGAGAGCTAAGTGAAACATGACAATAGGGAGAAGTGATCACTATAGACTGTCCTATCATCATGAACTGATTACAAGCCTTGCTGACCCTGCCTATTTCAGAGGGACCCCATGAGATCACAGTGAAGAGGACCTTTTTTAGCAATTGCTTTACCTTGAGGCATTTCTGTTAAAAACATTTTAGGTATTCAGTATCATTAGTGTCTTCTGATTCAGGCACAGGAAAGCCACAGTTAGTTCTCAGAAGAAACAGCAATCAGGTGAACTAACATCAGGATTGCTGAACAAGAGGTGGGTGCTCAGCAAAACAAGGCACTGAACACATCAAGGATCACTTTGGAGATTCATTTAATGTGTTCCTGGATGACCTCAGCACAAAAAGCAGGAACCTTTTGTTTGAGATTTGTTAGATATCATCACTGTTGTAGAGAAGGAAGGGGACAGCTGGCCCAAAACTAGTAGCTCCAAGGATGACACAACAGCATAAGGGATGAAATTCAGCTCTACGAAGTGCAAAGTCATACCAAAGGAAAATAAAATCCATTACCTCTCTACAAATGAGAGCCTGGGTGTTGGAAGCAGAGCAAGTGAAGGATTTGGGTATAGTAGCCAGCCACTAGACAGGTAGAAGTCATCCGTGTAATGCAGGTATGAACACAGAAGTGCAGCCTCAAGAGTGGAAAGTGTTAAAGATGTTCCACAAAGCACTGATAAAACCTTACCCAGTTTGGTATTATTAACTGTTCAGACTGAGAATATTACCATGTGAACTATGGAGATCCAGCATTAAGGTCAGTCAAAAGGAGTTTACAGGCACAGAACAAGGGGAAACAGAGCAGGCTTGTGTCATGGTTTGAGAGCTCCAAAATCCAATTCCCTAGTCCAAGCCCTCTCCCACATCTCAATGCAATGTGAGATGGGTTTTTTCCAGACACTACACGAGACTCAAAATGGGGGAAAGGGAATATATATTACAATGACTGTACAAAATAAATACTACAATACATTATACACAATCTTAGCTATCTCTACCATGACATAAAAGTATTTACAATGGATCAAATCTCTTCTCCCTTCCAAATAAAAGTCCAGGAGGGAAGAAGGAAAAAATCCCATTCCACTCTCAGAGCAGCAATGTCTCTAAAGCAACAGTTTCTCTGTCTCTCTCTTCCATGAAGCAGCTGTAGCTGGATCTCTACCAGTACACACAAGAGGGTATCCAAGCCCCTCAGCCACTCGTCTCCAAGCAAGGGTCTTCTCTTCCGTGGGCTGCGTTCACCCAGACAACGGTCACGTCACCACATCATACCACGAAGCACGGGGGTCTTTGTGACGGTCTGTATCTTCAGGGGATTCAAGTCCCCTTTGCAGAGCTCTGTGCTCTGTCTCAAGCAGTGGGGGGGGGCAAGGTCACCCCTCCGCATTCCTTCTGAGCTTTACAGCTCCTTTCTGCAGTGCTGTAGCACTTCAAGACTCTTTCAAGTAAGAGTTCATCATCCTCCTCCTTTCTCGGAGGTCTCAGAGGGGTATGGGGTTTTATTTCAGTTCTTACCCCAACTTCCTCTCTCTCTCTCTTTAGAGTCTAATTCTCTCTCTGCTGCTGGCTCTCTCTCGGCTCTCCTTCCAGGAGTTCTCTCTGTGTTGCTGCATGCCTGTCGTTGTTGCTTGGTCTTATCTCTTCTGGCTCTCTGCCACCGTTTCTTCGGTCAGTGCAGTTCTGCCGCTGCTGCTGCTGCTCACAGTGAAGAAACATCCCCCAGCTCTTAGCTACAGCTACTTAGCCCAGTCTTTAAACTGTTCCAAGTCTCTGTAGCCCCTCTGCCGAGGGCTGGGGAGGCCCAGAGGCCCAAAGGGGCTCCGAGCCCCTTCCTCGTGGCTTTCACAACATGGCTACCTCTTCAACAACAACTACAACCACCTTCTCTTCTGTTCTGCTTGTGATATGCTTATATTTTGCAAAAGTGCTCGTTGGGTAAAACCTCAAAACTTCAACGGTCACCACCCCCTGGAGTTTTACTATTTTATACCTTCAGGGAGGGAAAACTGTTTCTCCCCACCCCAGCTTGTTTTAGAGATGGTTGCAAAGCAGATGCACAAGAAGTCCATCCCAAAATTGCCCAGGCTTTGCATCTGCACCAGAGAGCTTAGGCAGAGGGCAGAAAGAGCTTGCAGTTCTGCCCCAGCTCATGGCTCCTCAGGGCACACAGCTGGTGGCAGCACCCCCAACTCCATCCTCCCTCCAACTCTCTGTAGATAAATCTATCTCTATTATGGACAGATTTCTGAGTCAAATGTCTGAGTAATCACACTGGAGAAGAACTAACTGTAAAGTATTTAACATATTAAGGAACCTGCTTTTGAACTGAGTTCTAGTATTTGTTCTTCTAAGTGAAAAATCCTCCAATTCATGTGGATCTTGAAAATCAGCATGCTTTAGCATGAAGGATACAAGCCTGGTAATGTAATCTCTTGTACCTCCTGCAGAGCCCCTTTGCCTCAGAATGTGCAAGCAAGCTGTACCAGCAGTGCTATGCACACACTATGCATCTACTTTATTTTTCCATATAAATGTGATGCAAATGCATGTGTGGTACTGCAATTGCTCATACATTTAATGATATAAGTCAAGGGTTGAGTCAGATGGTGATTTCATGGCTTGACATTAGGTGTTTTACTTACCTTCCCGTCTTTGTCATAGGGTGAATCAAAATTATCCAGAAAGGCTCTAAAAACTTGTTCTTCTGTCCAGTCTCCATTTAAATATTTGGGATGGTGTTTTGGATTGTATACCTCTCGTAAGTCTTCGATTGTTATGACACCATCTCTGGTCTTATCTAATTTTTGAAATGCTTGCATTATTATTTCTTTCCTTGCATTCGACATGGGAGGCTGTAAGGAAATATTAACAGAATCATTTTATTTCTGCCAACTACTTGCCAAATTCAAGTACCTGCTGTTGTTAGCAGTAAAACTATTTCAAGGTGCATGGCTGACAATCTACACTGTCCATGAGCTAGAAAGGACAATATATTACCATAAAAAAGCAATGTGATCGAGGTTATTCAGTATCAACCAGTACAATATAAATGGACAATAAGAGAGAAAATACTACATAGAACACTTTCCTGTTCCACCCATTTTATATATTTCTAACAAGAAATTACTGATTACTCTAAACACTAATATTTTCTATCTTAATTGTTTAGACTTCATCAGAGCAAAGAGACTCCAACCAAAATCAGCCACGGCATGGTGAACTAATCCATGGAAACTGGATTAGTTTGTGTTATAAAGAGATGCATCATGAAATGACGCATAAAGAAGTGAGATTAATGAGCTGAATGACATAGGTACTCAGATTATAACATAGGAATTTAGGTAACTTAATCAAGGCTGCAATTCATTGAAAAAAATCACAACAATTTATTTGCAAATATTCTATTCTATCTTGTTCTGTTCTGTTCTGCTATATTTTTCTCCATTTAATGCAGTATTAACAAAAATTTCCAGACTTACTCTCAGTGTAACAAGAAATTCATCGAAGTCAATTGTTCCATTGCCATTTTTATCAAATATATGGAAAACCTTTTGTGCTTCTTCCTTGTCAAGTGTGATCGCGTACACATTTAATCCCCTCATAAATTCTTCGAAATCAAGGGTTCTGCTATTCTCGACATCCATCATTCGAAATACTCTGCAGGATACATGACATTTGAGGAAAATGCACAGGAAAACATGGAGAATGCTGCAGTGGTTTATCACAGTGCTGGAGCACAGGGTCACTTTACTGAGGTAACATTGTTCAGTCTTCTGATGGGGGGCAGGGGGAAAGGAATAAAACCCCCAACCAACAAAACCCTCCACAGTTATAGGCAGCAGAGATGACTGGTTTCTATTGGGTGCCTGATTATGACACATCTGAAGGTAAATGAGGGGAAGGCTGCCATGGTCCTCCTGTTCATTATAGCCCTCTGCCTTCGGCAAGTTGGGCATTTAAATGAAGTTCCAGTTAGTCACCACCTGGATCCTTTTGTGGTTTATAGGGCCTGGGAGGGGTTTCAAGGTGTGATGCAGCTCCCCTTTCCTAGGACTGAGATACAAAAGGAGTCTAGGTGCCTCCCACAAACTACCCAGACCATTACACAGACCATTACACACAAGGGAATCACATCTGAAAGAAAAGAAGCATAAAATCCCCTGTACTGAGATACTTAAATTAATTTTCAAAAACACCAAAGAGAGATATGTGTCTTAAGCTTCCCTTCTCTCCCTCGCAGGAGTTGTTCTGGGTCTCACAGGAGCACCTTCCCATGAGAGATTCACATGGCTCATCCCTTCAACAGGCAAGCAGGCCAGTCCTATGCCCCAGAACACATGAGCCCCGAGGCCAGGCTGTAAGTTGTGGCGTTTGCATTGGAAACAGGAAACTCAAATTTTGGTCCCTGTTAAGCCTGTGAGCCTCTTGCAGCTAAAACTATTAGGCTGAATAATGGATTTGATTTCTTAGACTCACTTTCCAAGTCCTTTGATGCCAGCGGATCCCCTCGCTAAACACAACAATCGCAGCTTTTCGATGGGGTCAGTAGCTCCCAACAGGCTTCTTTTAGCCTGTATTACCATGTCTCGGTCATGTCTTGCTGTGCCCGACATCTGAAAGACAAAAGCAGTCTTGTGACATGGATTCACATTCAGGCATAGTGCTGAAACCTGCCTTAGAATATGGAACATCCCAAGACCCTCACCTGCAAGGTCTGGTGGCAATTCTTTCATGACAACTCATTTTGACTCTCTATTTCCTTGCCCTTATATCCTTCTATCAGAAAGGAAATTGCCAGTATAGGTCATGAACCATGAAAGGAAAGCTCAGTCAACCATCCTGTGATTAGATAGGAATGCCTGGGTAAGAATTTTCTGCCTAAAATGTGAAAATACAGTGAAAACCAGTGGATGAAGCCAGGAGAGTGAGGTTGCCTCCACATTCCCTGCATCCCTGCCAAGCCTCTCCTCCACCTGGAGAGGTTTGCAGTTAGCATTTGACCACAGGAATACAAAAATTATCCTGGGTGAGGACCTTTGCCTTAGATTTGCTTTTGTTCCACTAAGTCCCTAATTCTCCAGAGCAGAGCTTTCTCCCACGGCATGTCTGAGCAACAGAAATCACCTGCAGATGACACCTCCTGCTTTTTTAACACAACTGCAAAATAAATTAGTACCTTAAACTTGCACAGCATTTAGAACCTCGGGACTTCAGACTCTGCCAAGTCACACAAGCCTTCCAGCTTCCCTCAGAGGAATAAACGGAGAAAACCAGCCTGTGGAATCTGCAGTGCTGCAATAGCACCACCAAGAGGAGCATGCCCGGGCTGGCAGAGGGTCACCCCTTCTCCCACAGACACTATTTTTGCCTAGTGGTAAAAAAACCAGGGCTGTCCATGCCCATAACCAATATTTTAGGACCACGCGGAATCCTGGCCCCTGGGCACATGCTCAGGGCCAAGACTGACACTTGCTAAGGCAGTGCTGCGCTGAGGAGATGAAAATGGGCAGCCCTGTGAGGCATTAGTGCACCTGGCACTTCTAATCCCATTGTCATTGCATGTACAGAAGTGTGAATTGAAATAGTCAGAGAAAACTTATGAGAAACATGGAATCAAACTGTTTCTTCTTAACTACTCTGCTCCTGTCTGAAGAGCAATGACTATGGCTGCTGGTCATGTCACATATGATGAATTTTATAACCCCTTCAGATGACTCCAGTTGAGCTTGGAAAAACAGAAAAATAAAATGGTTTTGTACACCCCAGTTGGTTTCAGTAATAGATGATTGTAGAAGTCTAGAGAGGTAGAATAGAGACCATTTTGGCCTTTGGTTTAGACAGAACAAGCAAAGTTCTTCTGGGAACTCATTAACCAGTGACCAGAAAGACCTTACAGCTGCATGAGATCAGCAGCCAAAAATGTTTTCTGTAAACAATGACCTGTCCTTAAGGGGAAATTTTTAGTTGGAAAGAACATAAAATACAGTGAGGTTACATAAACACAGTGCGAACTATATCTCCATTATATAATTATCCACTATAGCTTATATATAACAACTATACTTCAATACAGAGCGCATAATGCATGCATAGCACTGTGCAGTATGCCTCCACACTATGTTATGTATTTATATGTATTTATATGAGGACATAATTTGTCTCCACTGCACACTGCAAAAATCTATACAAACACACACCATGAAAAATGTGTAACATTTTGTTGCCTCGGGTTCAGTGGAACCATTTCCAGCATACTGCAAATAATCATTGCAGCAAGATTCATGAATTGAGACTAGGGAGGGATAATCTGATTTGATATCTATTATGATCTCCTGTGCCACAGTAAAAGGCACTGAAACTGGCCAATCCTCTGTTATCTCTGCAGTAAGCAAAAAGTTTGCTTCTACATCTACAAGCATTTCTGGCTGAGAACTCACCATCTCCAGGCCAAGTTGCTCTAGTATTGAACCATTTTCCTTTTAAAAGGTGTTTTTCCCTTCTAGTGAATTTCCCCCATCATTAGCTGCTGCTTACTTTTTTTTTTTACAAGGCTAAAGAGTTACCTATTAAAAATTTGTCCAGATGCAAGGTCCCTTTTAAATCCATTTTGGCTAAATAATTAGGCAGAGCTCAGGTTTCCTGATACAAAATGAATTTCCAGATGTCAGATAATTCTGCAATTATGCTTGAACTATTCAAATTTTTTTTCCAGTGCTCCTTTTGAAGTGGGTCAGAGCACTCCAATAATATCACTAATGCCATAGGTAGAGGTATTCCCACTTCCCTCCCCCCGTGTATCATGGTTAGAAACACTAATAATAAATATTTCTGCTGCTCTTTGCAAATTTGCTTTCTCTATAACGTTCAGTAACAAAATCACCACCAATAAACACACACTTTATAAACCATATACAAACTATACAAGCGTATGCTATACAAAACTCAACAATTAAAGTCTGTTTTCAAAGTGATTGCACTTACACTTTATCTTAAAGCACCTTAAACATGACCTGGCTTTCTGTGTCACACAGCAGTATCTGTTTGAGAAGCCTTTCTACACATCCAGTAAATACAGAAAACCAGTTAAATACAAACCCTGCAGCACACAAACCTGGTCCACAGAAACACTTTTACCACTTTCCTATTTCTGTTGGCTGCTGGTTTAAGCTAGAGATAAACCTTTCTTAGGCCATATTGAAAAAAACAGATTCCAGATCAGTGCAAGGAAGGAGGAATCACATGCTCTTTCCTCTTATTTTGCTTTTGCCCCTTTTTGGATAATGTGAAGTAATTAAAGATGCAATCAGGGTTTGCTGAATATAACAATTCTCTGTACACCGTACAAATGTGTTACATATTAAACCCATTAATAAAATAAGAATAGCTCATAACCATAATTGTGCATGGTTTTAATTCTTATATCTTACCCAAGATTATCAGACGTCTCCCTCACTAAAATTAACCAACAGTGTTTATTTTAATTTTGAATGCTAGAGAGTTTTGTTTTGCTTAACAGCCTGGGCTATGAGCAATTACAATAGCACACATTGTCAGCATTGTTTGTTTCTATGGGTGATGTTGTGTTGTGCACGCTAAACAGAAATTATTGCATATATTCCGAACAAATGCAAACCCTTAAATTTTGGGCTGAGTTTTTCCAGCAAAACCTTGGGCCATTCAGCAACCAGGTCCTTTTACATTCCTCTGTGCCAGAGGATTAAACCTGGAAAGAGTCAGATTCAGTCTAAGCTCTGCATCATTTGTTTAAATGTTATCCCTCAGCTGAGCCCAAAAGCCTCCTATGAAATCCTGGAAAACGCTGCAGCATGACAGGCAGAGTCCGCATACTTGCCTCTGGATTACCTGGGCCTCCAGAAAGCCCCTGTCCTGGCCAAAGACAGAAGTAGCACACCACGCACCCCAATGTACAAGCTCTTACGATCTGAGACTAGATTAAGTGCCCTAAACCAATTGTACATATTTGGTTTACTCCTTATAATTCCATTAAATTATTAAGAGCATGAAATCTGACAACCATCTAAACACCTCTTTAAAAATCTGGTTTACCACCCCCACTAGAGCTACCCTGTAGCAGCTGCCCGTCTCTCACTTCATCATCCCCAACCTTCTGGCAGGTTAACATTACTGCTCTTACTATTTTGCAGATAGATAGATAGGTAGATAGATAGATAGCATATATATATGAATATACAATGATATATTAAAATATATAATTTTAATAAAATATAAAATACACGATATTAAGATATATTCTACTATAAAATTATATATAATAATACATGATTTTAATAAATATAATTATATATATTTTAGAAACCTGCTTTTGGTTGATCAGAGAAACTTATTGCAAGGTAACAAACAGGAGGGAAAAAAATCCTCTACCTGCAATGTTATCCTGAACGTGAGGTTTTCACCAAGGACTGTGGAGGTGTTCAGAGCACCGGGGTGGTGTTGTGCCCCACCTGCTTCTCTGCAGCCTCCCTGCAAAGCTTACTTATAGATCTCGTTCTACTTGTTTACACACCCGGCTGCCTTGGCCCCCCCCTTTTTGGGAGGCCTGGAGTTTTCCAGCTAATCTCCAAGGTGACACTGGAGGCTGCGGTGGCCCAATCTGCAATTACACTGCTTCCCTGTACGATTGCTGTGGGCCTTCGAGACTCGTTTTATCTCTTTTAAAAATAATGCCCCACTTCTCATGTGGGCAGAGGGGGATGTGGGAGAGTAGGAAACACCTCGTGCCACCTCCCCCATTGAGATAGAAGGCCAGGTGTGATTGTGGAAAGGAGCTGCGTTGCCATGCTGGCCTTGGTTATGTTTTGAGAACGTTTCCCTACTTTCATAGTTGATGGGGTTGAAAAAAACTCGCTGGTTCAATCTTGCACTCAAAACCTAATAGGAGAATTTAAGTAAAAGATTGTCTACTGTATTTCACAAAAAACAACTCGCCAGCGTATATATTTTTCCTGCTGATTAATTGCCGCTTTGTAGACCCACTGGTGGTTAGAATCTCTGGGGAGACACTGGGCTTGTGTTCATTTGCAGCAAGAAGAAAACTGAAAAGGTTAAACACTCATATGATGAGGAAAAATTGTTCTCTGCCTAGACACAGCTATTAGCAACTCTGTCTACAGAAGGTCACAAACGTTAGTGAGGTAATGTAACACTTGGTAAGGAATCAGGGTGTTGATAGACTCCTTAGGTGTAAGAAATAGCCTGTGTCATGTCCTGTCGGGCAGCAGCAAGATAAACACAGAGAACCAAAGCCGATGGCAATAGCAGCACCTACAAGTTAGTGTAAGAGCAGATGGAAAATGTGCTGGAGGGCAGGAGAGTTCTGTAGAGGGACCTGGACAGGCTGGATAGATGGGCTGAATCCAGTGGTATGATGTTTAACAAGGCCAAGTGCTGTGTCCTGCACTTGGCCACAACAACCCCCCGCAGCCCCACGGGCTGAGCACAGAGTGGCTGGAGAGCAGCCAGGCAGAAAGGGACCTCGGAGTTTGGATTGACAGGAAGCTGAACATGAGCCAGCAGTGTGCCCAGGTGGCCAAGAAGGCCAATGGCATCCTGGCCTGGATCAGGAACAGTGTGGCCAGCAGGAGCAGGGAAGTGATTCTTCCCCTGTACTCCGCGTTGGTGAGGCCACACCTCAAGTGCTGTGTCCAGCTGTGGGCCCTTCAGTTCAGGAAGGATATTGAGGTGCTGGAGCAGGTCCAGAGAAGAGCAAGGAGTCTGGTGAAGGGACTCAAGCACAAGTCCTATAAGGAGAGGCTGAGGGAGCTGGAGTTGTTTAGCCTGGAGAAGAGGAGGCTCAGGGGAGACCTCATCACTCTCTACAACTCCCTGAAAGGAGGTTGTAGACAGGTGGGGGTTGGTCTCTTCTCTCAGGCAGCCAGCAGTAGCACAAGAGGACACAGTCTTAAGCTGTGCCAGGGGAGGTTTAGGTTAGACATTAGAAAGAAATTCTTTACAGAGAGAGTGATCAGACATTGGAATGGGCTGCCCAGGGAGGTGGTGGATTCACCACCCCTGGAGTATTTAAGAAGAGATTGAATGTGGCAATTAAGTGCCATGGTCTAGTTGACAAGGTCAAAAGTTGGACTTGATGATTTCAGAGGTCTTTTCCAACCTAGTTGATTCTGTGATTCTGTAAAACAGAGGTAAAGCCCAGTTCTGGCCATGGATAAAACACTGAGCAAGAATGAAAAAGTGCATTGTTTCCTGGCAAAAGCAGAAAATTGTTTCAAGCACTTGCCAGAGTAGTACCACTTGCACCCTGGCAGGCTGCTTATCTTTCATCAACAGGTACTTCCTGGTACTAAACCGAAGCTTGTGCAAGATTTAAAATATGCTTTTATATCTCTAATCTGGCAGCTGATTGCACATTAATGCACAAGCAGGAAACAATGTTTATTTGATCATTTACTGATTCAGAAATACTGGCCTTGTGAAAATGTAACATCCCTCCATCTACCAGCTTTGTTTTGGGAATTGATCTCCAGAGACCTCCTGGGAATACAGAAGCGATAAGGGCCTAGAAACATTATTTGGGCTGCTGGCATGGGAAGAGCAGCTCTGCTGCCTGCCCACACACTTTGCAGAGGCACTGGGGCCTGGAGAAATGGTTTCCACTGAACAAGTCAGTCCTTGAAATTCATCATTCCACTTCAGTAAAGAAATTCCTCAGATGCAGAATTTGCATTGACTTTCAAAAAGGAAAGATTAGAACAACAAGGATGGGCTCTTGAAAGCAAAAAAATAAGTGAACTTAACATGTGGACACTCAGCAGCCTTCTGCTGCCTTTCCTGTCCTCTGCCAGTGAGCCAAGGCATATACAGACACACATAGATGTTAATCCTCCTTCCACATGCCCCTCTGAAAACTGGACTGTGCCATCTCTGAGCTGGTTAATGAGTTACCAGTTTGAAAAATTATTAATATGCTTTCAGGTGTCTCAGATTGCATCAGGCTGTGATGAAGCTTATTTTATTGTACCTGCTCCATTACTGTGTACAAAGCTGTAAGCAGAGTTCAGTGAATTCGGAATTTATCATAAAGGGGATAGATATTTCATCAGAACTCTGGAAATTTTCCTCACTATTTTCCAACTACCTCTGAATACATACGTGTTTGATTTTTGGTTTTGCCTGAACACCCTGAACTATCTGCTGAGTTTGTGGTTCAGCAGTGGACAGAGTTTACTAAGAAAAACATACTATTGAGGTGTAACATGATCTACAAACTCATGACAGAGATTGAAAACTTGTCAACTCAAGTTTCCAAAAGTTAAGATTTCATGTTGAATTTAGGCAGGAGGGAAGGTATAAGAAATGCCTTAGAAGCATTATAAGAAGTGTCTCAAAAAAAAGAGGTGTTGGGTGTTTTGTGTATTTAGTTTTCATGTGATAGCACTGTTTATTAATGTGCCACCTGTGACCTTCATTGTGGAGAAGCTCCCCAGCTGTGAGAAGTGAACACATCTGCTTGTCCTTGGTAGGGAAATCGACATGGTTGTTAGTGTTCAACGCAACTAAATTAGTAGGTTAAAAAAAGTAGCAAGCATGAACTCTCAGAACACTATGCACCAAAGAAGACTAATTTTACAGGATAAACCTTCAGGTTTTTTTCCTGCCATTAAAATTAAGAAAGTTTCATATACACTAAAAAAGAAACCCTCGTGGTAAGTACATTGTAAAGGAAAAAGTATTCTGATTTTAAACCAAGATATAAGTCACAAAAACATAGAATGGTTTGTGTTGGAAGGGACCTTACAGATCACCTGAACCAAATCCACCGGAACCAAATCCACCTGAACTCTGACTCCAAATAAAATGCTTTTATATTCAGAAACACTCTGTCCCTGTATGGGTTTTAGTTATCCAGCTGAAATTAACTGTCTGCTTTCCAGAGCAAAGACCAGCTGCCACATGCAGACTGTGCTCATGCTACTGAACTAATTCCAAAGAGGGGGGTCACCACCCACCTGCCTGCGTGGTCGGGTCCCCAGACCTGCTGGTAACAGAGATGCAGTCCAGTCCCTCCACGTGGGTCTGACACCACAGCACTGGCCCTCAGTTCATCCCTCTGGGCTGAGGAGCCTTTCCAGGCGGAGGAGTGCACACTGCCAGCAGCACCTGCACAATGGATTGATCTGCTTGGCTACACATGTGCAGCATTCCTAACCTCTACCTTTAGTTGCCTTCTCACTTCACTCTGGTGCAGCACAAACAGATCTTATTTTTTTAACACTATGTCACCTGCTAAAGGCATGTGTCACTCGACAAGCTTTTGAAGGTGATTTGAGACCAGGAGCATTCCAGAAGTGGAGGTAGTTGTTTAGAATTTTTATTTTTCTTGAAAATCTCCCACAAATCTGCTCTCAGTTGGAGAACGGAAAATTAAAACACCAGATACTTCAGCTTTCTAAGAAGTTCAGCAATTAATGTTTACTAAAAATTGCTTATTTTTATCCCGTGCCTTGAAATAATGAAACTTGAAGGTTTTAAATATTTCAGGCCAAGCGGAAAAAACAATGTTGCAGGAGTTAGTTTTTTTTTTTTATTCTATTACATTTCTCAAAAATATTGGCAAGTTTCTGTCTACCACAGAGAAACAATGCAATAGAAATCTAACATGCATGAGAAACTTCTGTACTCAACCCTCTCTTTATTTTGTCCACAGAAGAAATCAGTTAAATGGGCCCAGCATTTAGTGGGATCAAATACCTTTTGATGCTGAAAAGCTGTCCTTAATAACTGCAAATTGGGGCAAGTAAGGAAGAATAGAACAAGAACACTCTGCAGCTCTCTGCAACAAAAAACAGAACAATCTGTCCTTAGTGAAGGGGGCAAAGAGGAGGGAGCCAAAACCAGAGAGAAGGTTTCAGCCAGCTGCTCCTCAGAAAGGCCTCCCTAAAGACAATCACAAAGTGCTGGAATGGCCTGGGGAAGAAAGGGTTGTTGTGAAGTCTCTGCAATTGGCACAGGAATATGCCAGGAGGGGAAGTCTTGACAACGTTTTTGCGCCCCTCCCAGTCCTCTGAAATGTAGGCTTTTACAGGTAAATGGAATCATGCAGGCACCATTAGGGAGGAAGGTAAAAGGTGGTAGGTAGCAATGTCAGTAGTTGTACAGGAGAGAGCAGCGCCAGGCAAGGCACAGCTGCAGGAGTATCTGGAGGAAGGTGGTGGAGGGAGGAGCTGTAGTACTGGCAGGGAGGGGAATGCTTGCTTCCCTTGCCAGCCCATGGAGCCAAACTGACTGCAGCTGAGACTTCAGCCTGTGTGGTACTATTTCTGAAACAACCACAAGTAGGATGTAGCTATTTCTTGTTATTCTCTGGAGATTCCTCTCCAAACTACCAGGGACTGTTTTGGTTCCTGACTCCAGAAACTTGCTGGTGACACGTGAGTTAGATGCTTTTATCGACCTGGGCATGCTAGACAGGGCAGCACAATTCAGCATTCAACATGCTGGTGATACTCATCAACATGGCTGGGGACACCCACTGCTCTAGAGAGCTTTGTGATGTCCCAGAGTCCCTTCTCTCCATGGCCTGCGCATTTTAGAAGT